ACTGTTGATTACAATTTGTAAATAAACGTGTATAAAATGTTATGTATGAAATAATATAAAGTGAGCTTACAGCACGAGCAAGGCTTTATCAAATCCTGCCTCCCAAATTCCAACTTTGACTCCACCCCTGGAATTCCACTCTTTTACTCTCAGACTTTGACATTTTCATTTTTTTGGCAAAATATGTTCTAGTTCCTCTAATTATCATATTGAAAATTACATAGACACACATTCGTTATAAGAATCTAGCTCTACTCATGCCTTTCATTGGGAAAATTGAGTTTTGGGATCTTGAGAAAAAGAAGATTTTTCCATTAGGTTCATCAAGAAATTTAGCACATGATCAGGTAATTATCTACCACCCAGAACTTTTAGCAATGACATATGCCGCAGTCAATTAAACATAGGAACTTTGCTATATCCAGCTTACTGCAAAATTACATCACCATTTGCCCCGTGGTTCACCTGTGTAAATGAAAGACCTCCATAGGGGTTCTGCTGTTTGCTCAGCCAGTTCACAATCTCTGCAGCTTTGCCCAGGTCTGGCCTAGGTCCAGAAAGTACAGCCAGGAGGACATAGGCAGCCATCTCCACCTCAGCAGATGGAGCTTTGTGCCAGTATGAATCTTGCACTGGAGGAGCAGAATCCCATTTCCAGTGGAGCTGTACATCCGTAGAAATAAGAAAAAAAGAGATACCCAACATGCCCAAGCTATGAAACAGTGACAAAAGTATAATACCCCAAATTGTCCATAGATGATGCTTTAAAAGCCCCTACAGTTCATCAGTTTAGAGATATCCATGAATACTTGCCCTAGAATTATTGCTTTCATTCTGGGATGTGTGGCAATACATAACATGTGTAGCGCGATCCTCGTTTTTGTATGTAGGTGTGCCCAATGCATGTTTACGTTAATATGCACATGCTCGCGGGGGCCTTTACATTTATTTTTTTTACATGTATTTTATTCAATTTTATTTTTTTAAAACTTTTTTTAATCTTTTTTCATTTTAAAGGAGAACTATGAGGTGAGTGCTTTTCACTCACCTCATAGTTCTAGCCGACCTGTGACAATGAGACTGTCACAGGTCGGTTCAGTAGATCGGGAGGTGAGTGAACACATACCATACCGGAGGGGCTGAATTCCCCGCTCCGATCCGCCAGCGCTGACTGGTGGATCGGACGGGGGAGGGGGCGGGTACTGCTGGCTCTGCCTCAACATAGTCAGTCACACAGCTCACACAGCTGGGCGGATCCCGGCACAATTGTCGGGATCCGCTTCAGCTGCGGCGTCTCAGTATACCGCGAGCTACAACATATTGACATATGGACTAATGCACATTTGCCAGCCATTCAGTAAGAAAAATCCATTACTCACCTCCTTGTATAGCTTTTTTCTCCAGTTTGTCCAAAACAGACTTCCTCAGTTCTGTCTCTCGGCTCAGTGTGAAGGTGTAGGCCAGCAGAGCCAGGGTGTATACATTGGTCACATCCACAGTGGCTTTCTGCAGACAGGACACTGCGTCCATGAGCAGAGGATCCTATAAATAAATGGGCTAGAAAGGCATGGAGCACAAGGAACAAAGGGACAGCATGACAGGGGGAGAAGGGGAGACAAGCATATGAAGAGTTAACAGGAAAGGAAAAGAGAATATGGGTTGCTTACCTGATTGAAGGCTAACGTGAGAGAGTGGGATTTCCGAGGGTGGGGATCCTGTGAGTAGATGGGAAGAGTCCAGTTTGCGGAAAATTGCACCAGGAGAAGGTATTTGCCGCCCACCCACCACAATGTTGATGCGGTTTTTTTTTCTCTCTTCATTGTTAATTTTGTTTGTGTGTTTCTTTGTTTTCTGCCTAGGTTCCGGTTGGCTCGTCACGGCAGTCTTGGGTGGTTTGGGGTCCTTGAAGGTGGTAGGGATGCCGTAATTTATGGAGAATAGTGGGGGACCCATCATAGGTGTGGGTGTCCTTTAACTGGTGGTCAAGTGTTGAGCACCTAGTTTTTGGGCTGGATGTGTCTTCGGTTAACAGATAGATGTCCCTGAGGTGGTGGGGTTGCGGCTGGGGTCCAATTACTAGTCATCTGGAAGCTGTAGACACAATTGTTATGGGGCTGTGTTTCCTTTGTTATTATATCTGCCTTTAGGGACCCGGAAACCTGGGGTACAAAAATGTTTATACTGGGTTATGTTTTGTTTTCAGATAATATATTGGTTTATTTTTGTATTGAAGTTTTGTATTTAATTAAAGTAAACAAGTGGCTGCTGTGGCATTTTGAACTCCATATGGTTTGGCGTGTTATATTGTGAAAATGGGAGGAGTTTGTGGGGGAATAGGTCACAGTGCAAAATGGAGAATGGTGGAAGAGAAGGGTATCCCTTTAAAGTACCCTTGTCATGCATAAAGTATCATTATTTTCTACCCACCAATTGTAAGGACCAGTACTCAGAGAGAAACAAAAATACCTGTTTTCCAGGAAATACTGGAAAACCAGAAGCAAAACTGAAAATCCCCTGAACTTTTCCAACAAAACTGTATAAAACTGAGAGCTTGGGTTTGTGTTGATGTGAAGATGCAGCTTGTTTCCAGTTGCATTCTATTATAATTAAGAGTTCCTTCAAGGTGTATCTGCACTGCATTTTATTTCCTTGTAAGCTGCTTTAACCCACTTCATGATTTTTGCATTCTAATTGACTTCTGCAGAAGAGATGCAATTCCAGATTGGACCTTTTTTGCACCTTTGAGCAAGTCTGTTGGTAAGATCTCAGTGCACTTTTTCCTGAGCCTGCACACCTGCTTTGGCCATTATGAAGGAGCTCATATTTATTGGTTATATTATGGAGTGCCAGAACACACAAAGGTGAGGGGAGCACTCAAAACTACCAGGTAGGCAGGAATAGATTCAGGAATTATGGCATGAAATTAAAATTATTTGGTTAAACTGAGAATTGTTGTTTTGCACCATTACTTTTCTTTTTTATTGGCTTCTAAATAGCAAACATAATAATTATCTTTTGGTAGTTAAATAGTAACCGTTTCATAAATATTTGTACATCAGACCAAAACTTCTGGGGACCACATGCCACTCAAAATGCTGTTTCTGCAGTATAGTTGTGAAAGTCTTGTTCTGCAGTAAGACACCTTTAGCTAGATTGCCAGTACCACTAGGTCCCATCCTTCTTTTTTTAATATGACTCTGTTTTTTGGCCTCATCATTTCATCAGTGAGTGGTGTCAGACCTAAATCATTCTGAACCACAGCTGAACTTTTTTTTTTAACAGTCTGCTCATCTCTCATCACCAAGTACCAGCTCCATCACATGAGAGGAAGGGAGTCGATTACATGAGCCTCAATACTCAGACGTAGCGGGTATTTTCTTCGATCCTGGCAGCTGAGAGACTGAAGGCCAGAATGTGAATGGTAAAACTGTGCTGTTTGGAAGGTGGGGCATTAAAGAAAAACTCCAGAAAAAAATCAAAAACTTACCCTTGCAGTGGGGTTACCCTTGCAGTGCAAGGGTTAAGTGCTGATTTTGTCTAGGTGGCTCAACAAAGGCAGTGTAACTCAATCTATTCTCGGTCTCGCAGCGGTCAGCACTCACCTCTCCCCCCTTCACTAAAGCTATGGAACGTCTCTTAGCAACTTCACATCTAATGCAGGTTAATGGACCTGTATAAAACGTCATGATGCCAAAAGTCCTTTGACTGCCGGAATCCAGGTGAGAAGAGGCTGTGGGGACCACTGTAGCAGCCGTGAGGGAGCCGATGGGTCCAAAGATAAGATATGTAAATTTGTGTCCCCAGGCAAAACAAGCACTTAAAATAGAACTATGGGATAAGTGTTTTTCCCCATAGTTCTCTTTAGGGTCACAGGATGACATTTACTAACCTCCTCCCCTGACCCAAAGCTTAGTACATAGTGGGCTATTGCCCACTATATACTGAGTGTTTCCAAGAACTACCCGCACTCTGTCACTATGCCGCTCTGATGAAGGGTCCTTGTGAGGTGCCGAAAACGCTAGCTTCCGCTTCTAATGACATGGCGTGACATTTTTCAATATGTGTGCCGGTGACCTGTTGACACTATATACTGAGAGCGCCGCAGCCGGGACAGACTGGTCCTTAAGCGATCACCATATGTGCTCAATTCCCCAAATATCACAGTGGTTATAGTCCCCCCTACACTGGTGGTCAGTGGAGAAGGCCCTCCTTACATTGTTGATCAGTGAAGAGAGGGCCTTCTTTCATTAATGGTCAGTGGAGAAACGCCTGCTTTACATTATTGACTATTGGAGAAGGGCCACCCTTGGTGAGAGTACTTTCCTTAAAAAGAAAACACTCCATTTCCTACACCAAAGGCTCTGTTGAATGATATTTACACCTGAATTATGCAGGCAGTGTTGGGCAGCAGATCAATCTGCCTGAATATCCTGCACATAAAGCACCCCATTTTTATCAACACCCGGGATGGAGTGCACCCATTGGGTAATATGAGGTAAAGTACACAGTAATGCAAAACCTGCAATTTATTTTGAATGACACCTCAAACATGCTTTTCAGTGCAGCACAAAGAACAAATAAGAGTCATCTGTGTCTTACAGGGCACTGCACTGAAAAAAGGTTTCTGCCCCTTTTGTTTGTGTAAGGGACAACTTGATTAGATAGAGGACTCTTTAGGTAGGCCTTTGTATGACATGGATGTTATATTTATTGGAGATTTTACAGAGATTGCTCAATCCCATTGAAACATGTAGCCATCTTCAGTCACATCAAAAATAAATGACAGGTAAACCTTATTTTAATTTCTCAATATTTTATTGGTCGACAATACAATATTATTTCACTTTTCCAGCAGAATCACAGTGAATGGAAAAAGTCATAGTTCCCGAACCAAATGCAGTTATTGTCACTAAATGGCTGTTTTTGGTCCAATGGTTTATAAATTCCACAAGGCTCTTTGTCATTTATGGAAACTGAAATATTTGGTAGATTTATATGCATTTAGTGACATTTAATTAATGATGTGATCTTAAGGTAACTTTGTCTTCATCTTGAATTTCCAGAGTCATCTACAAAACAAAACAAAAGAAAAAGTACAGTTTTGTGTAGAGGTGTGTCAGAATATTAAAGTACTAGATAGCTAGCAATACAATGTTATGGATAGTATTATAAAAGTTTAATGTTGGTAAAACCTTTTGAGCAGTTAACTAAATATATTTTAAGGTGCAAGCATTGAAGCCTTCTTCAGGCATGGTTTCATGCAAAAAAAAAAAAAGAAACGTACTCACTGTATGTACACACACAAGTACCATGGACATCAACGCACAAAAGTTAAAGTGACACTAAACTCAGTTAAATCTTAAAAATACAAATACCTTAATGATTAACTAAAATGTATCTTATTTGTGTATTACATGGCTGTAGATCCTCAAATCATCTCTGAATTTGTGCTAACAATGTCCTCCCTTCTGGAGGGCGGCTACCTTTGTTCCCTATGCTCCTGTGAGTGTTGTAAAGTAGTCACCACTCCAAGCTCACTCCCGTGATGGACTACAATCTAATTTAGTTTATTAATTTGTATTGAGAGTGTAGTCCATCATGGAGTGAGCTTGGAGCGGTTAATAGTTAAAGTACTTGAATGTATTTTTAAGATTTAACTCCCGAGTTTAGTGTCACTTTAAAATATATTAATAGCCCACAAAGGTATTGCCTACATTTCAACATTCCAGGTACAGGAGTGGAGTATGGTAACAGTAATGCAGATTGCTGGTTATACAGGTTGGATCTGACAGTCTCACATCTTTCAGCCAAGCTTCATCCACACTGGATATAAGTATCCACACTGGATATAAGACTGTTAAGCTGGCCATACACCTATAGATTATCTGCAGATTTTCTATGGTCAGATATAAAAAGTGCAACAGATTCCTCCATCTACGCTAAACTGTGTGGATGGGGGAATCTCCTGCTGGGCAAAGCTTCAGTATCTTGCTAGTTTGCCCCGCTTGCTCTCAAAATGTCCGCATCCAATCAGGTTTCCACTCAGCCCAGGACCCCTGCTTTAGGGGTTATGCTATCTCTGTTAATCATCTTTTAAAAAAGTAATTTGGGCCTCTAAGTTTCCTTCATCTAGTTTATAACACACAAATCTGACATCCGTACCTTTATTGCAGGGATGGTTGTATTCTGCCACTGCTTGTTCATCTGGAAGGTAAAAGAAGAATATTTAAAATGCCATAAATGCCATATACCATCAAAGACATACACTTGATATATGAGACAATCCAGTCAGTGATGAAGATAGTGTATATACTGAATATGGGATTTTAAACCCAAGATTATCCTATCACCCAAAACAAACTCCAAGCGGTGTAAGTGAAAGTCTTTCTAGTATCACTTAAAGGCTCAGATTCTTATTTAAGGGAAAGCAGTCACATGAATGCCATTGTTAACCTAACCAGAGAATGCCATTACCTGTCTCATAATAATCATAGGCTGTTACTGTGGCTGGTTTCAGGTCCTTGACTTCAACATCCTGTTCCACCATAAAGGAAAGATTCACAGGAACATGTCCCACCTACAAGCAAAATAATATTACAGTGCTTGATAGCAGCGAAGAACAAGCCAAAACGACAGATACACAGAGATGTAAAGAAAAAAATAACAATAGTTTGGTTATAAACAATAGTTTGGTTTCAATACTATTTGTTCCAATAAACAATAACTTGGTTTCTACTAGTTGCAGAATGACACCAGGTAAAACATTCACCAATGTGAACATATGTACTGAAAGATGAAGGCTTAATAATAAACTCTTGATACATCAAGACAATTTGAAAAAAGGAACAATAGTTCTTATCCTTTCGGAGTTCAAGGTAGAAGAAGTTGAACTTGTTATTATGTTCAGAAAGAGGGGCCTTGAAGTCAACATGGATTGCAAATAACATGCACTTTGATAAGATCAATCATTGATTTTATGTAAAATTTGTTCAAACGCCACTTAAAGTCAGAGTTAAAATATGCAAATGAGAATTACATGTCAAAATTCTTACATGTCAAAATTGTTGTCATTTTGCTCTAGTAATAGTCTAATCTACATAGTAGAAGTAATAAGTCCTGGTCAAGCACCACCTTAGCAAATTGTATAATTAATAGAAACGGATGTGCCATTGGGCAGACCGATAGGCCTGTGGAGATACAAGAGTGGTATAGAGAATTTGTTCATTCAACTATTTGCAGCTCCATCTTTGGCATTAAGTTATCTGATCTTGTCTGATGTGCTTGATAAAGAATGTTCAATAGAAACCGATCTTATCCATGTGTTATAACAACATATTTATACTTTTGTAGATAATTATCTCCTGTGTTCTCCTGATGAAGTGGAACTTTGGTGCGGACTATCTTTGATCATATTTTATCATTCATCTTTGGGTAAATACTATGTATTAAGATGTAAATGATGTAATGTATTGATCACGGTGACTATTGTCCATATACAGTATGAATGCACATGATGGATTTGACCTGGAGCTAGTAGTGAACACAATCTATAAGAAGCATCAGAATATTTTCTTGTTTTATGAGGATATACAGTGTAATAAAATCTAAACAGTGGTCTAATCCAAACAGTTAAAGCAATACAGTCTCATCTAAGAGCACCTTAGCTTGGTCAAAGGGCACCTTATGTGATGTGTTTGATCAAGTGTATAATTAATTAGCCCTTTGGGGTTATAAGAGTAGTATAGAGAGTTTTTTTTTTTTTCAAATATTTGCAGCACCATCTTTGTCATTAAGTTTAGATTATCTTTGCTGAAGAAGCAGTGACGGTTTTCTCAAATGAACTGTGTTTATATACAGTGCCATCATTTAAATTGTTTTATATTTTAGATAAAGCCAACACTGAGCATCTGCTGACTGCACAATAGGAGATGATTGAGAAAAAAAAAGCTGCATTTGTATGTCACAATTATTCTACAGAATGCATAGATTCTACAGCTGCCATCTCAAGTCAATGGGTAGCCAAAAACAGCAATAAGGTGAGTCAACAAGAAGGAAAGTGATAATTCCACTTCACAGGATAAAAAGGTATATAAACCTCATTCAGATATAACGTGACCACATCCGCATGTATTTCAGTTCTCTGTACCAGGCTGTCGTTCTTCAGCTGTAAGAAAAATTTGAAAATCATGCGTTGACAATAACATATCCTAATGTTCATATCACGTTATAAGATGGTTAAAGTCTCCTGTTGCCATTTGGTGATGATGTTGGGTTAGTACATGTCTTGGCTTTACAAAGTTAACCTCTGTCTTGCACATGGAGTAACACCACAAATGAGAAGTCACAGTTTAGCTGATGCAGTGGTTGAATAGTCAAGTTATATAAAACTTTTGTTGGGTAGATTTCCTTTTTGGTTGTTCTCTTTTCTACATTTTGGGAAGATGTTATCTTGAAACTCAACTGCTGGCTTATTATATCTCAAAGGAACTATAAAGATGAGATATCTTAGTTGGGCTCTTCTATAGCTGGAAGATTATTTTTGAAACAGGACTTTGTAACTTTGTGTCTTGCCCATATGCCTGATGGAAAATCTTTTCCTATATACTGTATTATGCCTACTTACTCTAGTCACCATGACCAGACTTATTGTAGAAAGTAAGTCAGTCATTTAAACCACAACAGTCCGCATTTAGGACCAAAGGTATACTATATTTGATTGTAATCAAAAGGATATCTCCTAAGGACAAGGGTTGCAATATGTCTGCCTGTATCAAGGCCTGCCACAATCATTACCCGTTGTTGAGAGAAATGTTGCTTCAGAGGTTCCAAATTAACAAAACAATTACTGTTACATTTTACAGGTCAGTCCACCCTTGCCCATCTCAGTTTTTCTCGATTTATGTTATATAGTGCTTCATCATAAGAAAATCTTTTGATCTGCTCATCATAGAATTAGTAACAATAATATTGTTAAAATGTATCAATTAAATGATCGATAGATAAACCATTGGATTTATCAATCAATCATTTAAACAGAAGCCATTGTCTGAGCTCCTGGAGCACAGCACAGTGCAGGACCTGGCTTTCAAAATGACAACCAGGTCTTGCTGGTTATGGTGGCAGAACAACTGCAGTGGGGCCTCCAGAGCATGAAGCACCAGAGTGCATCTCCTTAGGCGCTTAGATTAAGTTGTTTAGGAGTACCTCATACGTCCAAGGTTCTAAAAAAATAAGAACTTAGTGCTCTGTTAATGTACAAAGTACAGTAAGTCATAGCAGCTAACCTTCTTGCAGGCAGAGCAGCAAAAATATTTTTTCTCATTTTATCCATTTACTATGGGTTACTGCAAATTCCCCTTAATTCTTAAGGCTACTGATTAAATTGTAGCACAAAGAATCTTCTTGTACAGGCACACTTCCAATAATAAGAGATGTTCTGAACCAGGTCATTAATATTTCACTCTTTTGTACATTTTTGTAATTGAACATAAATGGAGGAGTGTAAGACAATTGTACAATATAGGGGGAAATGCACAACTGCATGGACAGATCATACAAACTCCCTGTTGACAGATTCTAAGATAAGAACTGACCTCAAGAACAGGTGTAGTAATGCCGTGATGCTTACCAGTGAGCCACCACCCTGCCCCACATTGATATAATCTGCTATTGCAGAGTGACCTGAAGCACTAAACTTTAATGCTGCATGCTAACTGTTTTTTTCCTGGCAGACATCCATACCTTTCTCACTGTACTCTTGATTGGAATGTATCCAGACAGCATCTTCACCTCTATAACAGCCATATTAGTTCTTTCCCGCGTTCCAGTATAGCTGTAGGAGTAAAAACACAGGGCTAGAGTGAAAGAATATGTCATCCCCTTTAACACATATGGATAACTTTCAAGAAGCATGAACATTTTGGGTATATTTCCACAATAGCCCCACCCAGTAGTGAGCAGATGTCACCGATAAAAACACTATTTGTCTGACACATAATGGGTTTGCTCCGATCTGATGATCTGGAGAGGAAATGTTTACTGAAAAGTACCAGGATAATCTGTATGCATTGGTTTTAATTGTATAGCCAGCCCAGGTTTAGGATAGAGTAGTACATTGGTCTCTACTAGGATAGCTTAGTAACCCAGTAACTTGCATGCTGGCCAGCTGCAGCACAATCATGATAGTACTGCAGATACTATCATTGGTGGTTGGGTGTATTGATTAACATCAAAGTAGCTAGAGTATTGGTGTTAAGATCAGATGCGAGTGGACAGTAGAGAGATGAACAATGCACTAGTGTGTGATATAGTGTGTGTGTGATAGAACCCTCTATTGCAGTTTCATAAAACCCCCTATCCTGTTTTGGAGTCTCCATCTTTCTACTGCAGCAGTGAGAGTTTTATGCATCCTTGACTGTAAAATAAAAATTGTAAAGAATGTAAATTTCACCTTAATGATACTAATGCAAAACTGATTTGCTGCATGTCATTAAGATGTTTGAGTATCTTTTATGGCCATGCTATACCCCCAACTTTCCACTGTGTCTCCTGATCAATAAGAGAAAACTGTAATAAAACTCACGTAGCACTGATAAGAATCTCAAAATGTGTCACTGGATCCCCCAGACACTCTCTGGTTGAATGTGGTGTCACCTTTAATGAAAAGCTGATGTCTCTTTTCGGTGGAGGGACATTGTATCTCAGGACGGTCTGTGAAATGAAGGCAGAAAAGTGAGTTAGAGGAAGATTAAGTAAGAGAAGAGAAGACAGAGAGTTGGTATTCTCTCACCTGTACAAAAACACAGCCGTTCCCTGTGGCGGTCACCGTGTATTCTCCAGTAACAGCCTGTAGCGTTGCCCTCTGGAGGAGGAGACGGTTATTTTTGTCTACATGAAACTTCTCCAGAAATCCTGTTGTGGAAGTAACAGTCACAGTCACATCACCCTTATCACCGAATGTGAGCTCCGAATACTTGGCCAGAGCTTGAAGAGCCACAACTGTGTCCTACATAGAATAAAAGGAATGCTAGTGAAGGTCTTCATCTAATGTTAAATACATTTATCAAAAGTAGATTTCAGATTGTGTTAGGTTACAGCACCTAACATATTGTTTCTAAATAAAGGCCAACCCTTTTAAAAAAGGGGTGTTTAAATAAAATCAATCACTTTGCCCATTAAAGCAATGTGATAGATTCCCTTGAAGGACTACTGACCCACTGCTACTCACAGAAGTTCCCCACTGCTTATTCATCCATCTAAAACCTCAGAACTACCAGGTTAACATTTAAGTATAAGGGAGTATTCACCCCTTATTGACAGAATGCATTGCTCAGCACTCTGAGGCCCATTGTTAGACCTAAAAGCTGTGACATGGGAAGCGGATCAGGTCATTAATCATATGTAGGCTATGAAAATGACCTACATAGATCTTATATGGAGATTAGACAAAGAGATCCAACAGATGAACAGAGCAGTGGGAGAGCACAGGCAAAAAGAGTAGCACTGGAAGTTGGGGAAGGGAAGGGGGGGGGGGGTGAGAGAAACCTGTCAATAGTAGCTGTAATTTTTCCCTAAATGGGCAAAAAAGCAGAATTTCTTTAGGATCAAAGAAAACCAACAAAAATACAACAGTGAACATACAATACAGAAAATCCCTCACTTGTCATGACTTAACCATGAAGTCCCATCTCTGTTTTTTTCTCTGACTTTGTTATTGCTCACTCCTCTTTAGGCCAAACGTTGATGTTGCCAGGCCAGTGACGGGTTCTCCATATTTAAAGAAAATCCATTTTGAGACTTGCAGACATGTTTACCTGGATACCAAGCCCCACTAGTACTTTTGAAGGAGTCAGAAGGTTTCCTTATTTCAGTTCATGTTTTATCTAAGGTTAGGCACATGCATAGGTTCCGATGCAAGAGGCTGCATAACAAAAATCTGTACTGAAGATATATGTAGATTGCCATTGTTCACCTTTCCTTCTTATGATGCAGGTTGCCTCACTTCTATGCTGATCAAGTCACTACACTGCTTCACTGACCTGAAGGTTTGCCGTTCAGGAGTCCTGTTTGCTTTGACATTACTTGCTGCATTCTTGTCTTGGGTCAGTGGCTAAAATATTGAAGCTAAAGATAGCCAGCTAAGTAGGATTTTAATAAAAAGTTAAGCAGTGGGCCTGTATACTGCTCTTACCGTGTTTCCCCGAAAGTAAGACATCCCCAGAAAATAAGACCTAGCGCTAAACAAGTGTCCTATAAAGCAAATCATTGCCCAATAACAACAAAAGGACAGGTTTGATTTAACTCCCCCAACCCAAAGCAGCACATACTTATCTTTCCTTTGTTCTCTTACTGTTCTGTTCAGTGCTAGGAGCAGAGGGATATACCCTGTACCTCAGGGTATGAAAGAGCATGTGACTGACCCGTGTGACATCGTAAAGCCTATCAGTGCTGTCAAAAGGCAGTACATAGATAGCCCTGTGTGAGCTCCAACTCCATGACTTGCAACTCACACAGGAGTTTACTTTTGCTCCTATCAGAAAAACAGAGTGACAAAGGGAGCAAAAGGAAGGTAAGTATATACATCTGCGAAGATCTGCATCAGTTAAGGGGGTGTATATTTGAAATCTGGCACCAATCATGGCTTTGCTGGGGTTGTACAGGCATGACCTCTGGGGTGCTGAGATTAGTTTCTTGAACATTGAGGCATTTAACATGTATGTCAGTGATTTAACCCACCAGAGTTTAGCCCTAACTGTGTAATCATAGTTTTATGGACTTGATCTGCAAAAAGGCAATGGGATATATTATGCATTGGCATGTTATCAGTCACCTGTGTAGATGAGAAGCCTCCATAGGGGTTCTGCTGTTTGCTTAGCCAGTTCACAATCTCTGCAGCTTTGCCCAGGTCTGGCTTACTTCCAGAGAGTAGAGCCAGGAGGACATAGGAAGTCATCTCCACCTCAGCAGATGGAGCTCTGTGCCAGTATGAATCTTGAATGGGAGGAGCAGAATCCCGTTTCCAGTGGAGCTGTCCATCTGTAGATACAAAGACACTATATCATTACACTATGATCTTGTCTTTCTCTTTCATAGAACCTTACTATAGACTTTGCAGGATCTCTGTAGCATTTGAATTTGCATCAGCTACGACAAGATGAGACCGTGGTACCGTGGTTTAAACTCTTGGGTTTATCGTGGTTGGTGAACCGTGGTCGAGAACTCTTTTTCAGCAAAGCTAGTTTTTGGGTTTGAACTCTGCACCTTATTAATGAGCCAGAGCAGGAGCTCATTCCCTCACCCCCATCCCTCCATATGACTTTATCCAAGGTTTCAGAGAGTAATTCCCAAAAACATGGGAATAAATATGGAGTTGGGAGTTTGTGGCTATAACATTCCTCACGCTTCTCAGAAGGCCTCCTATGATAGTTTGAAGTGTAGACTAAAAAAAAAAAGCACAATAAGGGACATCTGTTAAACACAATGGGAAGAAAACAGATTTTGGAGAGTCTCTGTGGCAATTTGTTCCTACTGAGCCCAAAGAGCATTTCTAAGGTCAGACACTGATGTTGGACAAGAAAACATGGCTCACAATAAGTGTTGTAATCCATCCAGTTCAGTAGGGTTTAAGTCAGGGATCTGTGCAGGCCACGCAGGTTCCTCCATAATAAACTCATCAAGCCAAGTTTTTTTGTACCTGGATTTATACACAGGGACACAGTTGTGCTGGAACATAAAAGAGCCTTCTCCAAATTGTTGCCACAGGGTTGGAATCACACAATTGTCTCAAATCTCTTTGTACTGTATGTTGTAGCATTAACAGTTTCCTTAACTAGAAAACCTGAACTCAATAATATCGAGCGCAGTCCACATACATTTAGCCATAAAGTGTGCATTAAACGTCTGTTTACAAAACAAGGTTGGAATACCCATAGTGTAAAAAAAAATAGGATAAAATATCATATGAATATTCTGAAACGTGTAAACATAAACAGTATGTAACAGACCCAAAATCATTATGGAACAAAGAAAAAAAAAAATGTAACAATGTTTTAAAAAATCACCTTCTCGTATAGATTTTTCCTCTAGTTTGTCCAATACAGCCTTCCTGAGCTCTGTCTCTCTGCACAATGTAAAGGTGTAGGCCAGCAGAGCCAGGGTGTACACATTGGTCACATTCACAGAGGCCTTCTGCAGAAAGGACACTGCATTCCTGACCAGAGGATCCTAAAAATTAATAGGCTAGCATGAAATATCAGCATTTTCTAATCTAAAATTGGGAAGAGTGATCAAAAGGAGAACAAAGATACATGATGAATCTGATCTATGAATACAACTAAAATTGGTACCGTATATACTCGAGTATAAGCCGTCCTGAATATAAGCCGAGGTACCTAATTTTACCCAAAAAAACTGGGAAAAAGTATTGACCCGAATATAAGCCGAGGGTGGGAAATGAGGCAGCTACTGGTAGATAGATACCAATAAAATTACATGAATATTTATTTAAAAGAAAAACAATAACCTAGCTCTGTAAGTGGAAAAGGGGGTACAGGGCTACATATCATGTACTACGGATCATTTAACCCATTCATATTAGCAGAGGATAATTGTAAATCTATTGTATTTTTAAGTAGAACTGCAGCCAAAATGTTTGAAATTATGTCATCTGTGTTTCTTGTTGGGAAAACTTTCTTTTACTTCTTGTCTGTGACACCCAGGGCATTGCTGTTAATTGAACTTCCTGTTTTCTCTTCCTGGGATGCATTTTCATGTAATGTGTCATTGGTTCCCTATTGGTTTCCCTATTGAAATGTGTGGAGTAGGTACTTCAGAGAGGTGCAATGGATAGTTTAGCTCACAAAGCCTGGTGGTCATAATATGTTTCCATGTACTTCTAGTGTAGTTTGTACTTGTCAAATTCCATCAAGGAAAAAGATTAACAACCATCTATTTTGTCTATACACAGTATATAGTTCTTCTATTCCTAGTTCACCAGAGGTCATATATTATTTCCCATCTGGGTACAAATTCATTACACAGAACAACATGTAAGTAGCTGTTACAAGCCCAGATGTCTACACTTGCTCAGGGGTGACATAATACAGTCTGAGTCTAAAAATAAAGGGAATAAAACACCAGTGACCATCTGTACAAGCATTCTTACATTATCTACTATTAACCAGTTTGTTAGGAAAAAAGTTACATTCGGAAGCAACATTTAAAGATCACTTTTTTTTGGCTAGGAAGCTTTAGGAAAGTCGAGCATTATATACCAAACTGGGCAAAATTTAACAATCTTGACTTCAATGACAATGATGCGTTTAATGGCCAAGTTATAATAATAATACCAAGGGATCTTTGTTTAAAGTACAACCTATGTTAGAATGAAATAATCTTTTTAAATGTTGATGATCTCTTACCTCCGGAGATACACCGGCCTCTATCAGGGCCATTGTCACATAAGCAGAAAGGGAGACTTCATCTTCCACGCCTCCCTGTAATATAGACCAGTGGTTATGTCTTAAAGTAGTATTAAACTCTCAATCTTTTTTGATAATGAATTCAGATCAAACAAATATATATTATACAGTAAAATATTCCTTTATTTTTATGCCCAATCATTTACCATCATTGCGTTTCTGCACGGTTGGCTCCAACGTTCTCAGCTCCACTTCCCTGAAATTCCTGACAAGTACAAAATCAAGGGGACAGAACAGACTTCTGCAGCTGTCCATCTACTAGCTTGAAGAAAGGAGTAGGAGGAGGAGAGGGGAGAAGGGGGGAGGAGAGTGTATTGCCTTGTGGTGCTTTTGTGCTTGTGGACACAGACAGAGCATACTAGCACACACAAGGGTGGCTCCAGGCTCCATAGGACCCTGCAAGGGAAAAGAGCCACCCTAAAACAGGATATCAGGGCCAGTACTCAGGGGACAAGCTGATTCTGCAGGAAATTTAAACATATAAACATCAAGGAGCAGCATCTATTGCGAGAGATTTAATCAGCATTTCAAATTGCTTACAAATCTTTTGACTTTAATATCACAGGCATAATTAAAAGAAAAACATTTGATAATTTACTTTTATTTTATTTAAGAACAAACACAGTCTTTTTTTTCTTTCACATTTTTAATTCTTTTAAAGCAATTTGATTAGTTTATGGGGTCAACTGTGTTTGAGGACATCTAGTGGACAATCATGTTTGTAAAACTTGAATATGAACAAGTGTTTTGTGTCTCTCCTACCAAGAAGATAGTTACCTTTGCTTAACAAACAAAACAGCAAAATATGGACAGTCATGTATCCAGACATAGAGGGCACTGTGTCTCCATTATATAATCCTGTTTATGAAAAACATTATATCACAATGTTCAAATCACCTTCATATCAGTACGGAGTAGTTTTCCAACATTACGGAAGCAGCCATTCTCTTTTTGTATCTTCCTCAGCCAGGTGAAAGTTTGCTTCAAGTGACTTTCATCTATAAATATGTAAGGCCGACCTTTGCTAAAGGATTTCACTACAAATGCAGTCAGCCTGTAGGATAGAGCAATACATGTATTTAGTAACCCTAATACTACTTTATCATTAACCTAAACCAATGACCACTTTATATTTCCTAAATAGACACTTAGGTAAAACTGAGCGCGTGCTCCCACCGAAGCTTATCCAAACTCAAAAGTTAGGTATCAGTGCACACCCAATCAGTAGCAGCCAGGACATCCCTGTGCCTCAGCTGAACATAAACAAAGGGGTGCAGTACTGGTGACATCATTGACCTTATGTGGCCACATGGCCATATTTGGTCAATGACATTGACCTAATATGAGGATGTGGCCATATAGGATCAAATATATCACCAGAGGGATGTGGTACTGTGCGATGGGATGGAGAAATGCACCTTACTACACTGCAGCATTATAGTGTGAACAGGGCAAATATAAAACAATTCTTTTCTATGTGTCCTGGTGTTGAGTCTGCACTGTGCAGTTGAAAGCAGATGAATGCACATGATGTGAACAAGCCCTTAGGTTATTTAAACACGGGAGAAATGCCCCGGCAAGTATAAACAAGCTTTATGTTCTCGGATCACTTTTTCCTGCGTTTAGATGTATCTGCCTTTTAGCATTTAGCTGCCTTTACATGTGTATGTGTGTGTGTTTAGCCACATTTAAAGCTCTTATCAGGCTCTAGACACACAGAATTCTATTTCCGCTAAACAAAGCCAAACTCAACAGACCAAACAGTTTAACCCTTTCGCTGCTGGCACTGTAAGGCATACCGCACTGGCAGCAGGCCTGTGTAAACAGATTCCGGTGCCTATAGCCGCAGGGAGTCTGTTTACCTCTGTGAAGCCAACAGTTGGCTTGAGGCCCCGTTCACATATAGTGAATTGTCGCTCGATTTCCGCCGCGATATCGCGCATTTTTGCCGCGCGATATCGCGAGAAGTCGCCGGCCAATGTTATTCAATGGAGCTGTCTTAACTCCATGTCGCGCGTCGCTCGTCGCTCGTCGTGGTCGCAAGTCGCTTCTACCGGACCCTTTTTTTCTGCGGATTTTGCGCGATTTTGCTTTTTTTCTATGGAGCCCGACGGGGAAGGTCGCGCTACCATCGCTGGATCGTCGCTGGAACGTCGCTGGAACGTCGCCCCGAAAGTCGCGCTATCCCGGCCGTGCGGATCCGCTGCAAAAGGTATGTCGCTAGGTGTGAATGGGGTCTTAAACTGGAAGCGGACTTGACAGCTGAAAAGTCACCAGATTGATTTCAGGGGCTTGTAAAAAGAGCCGTACCCCCACCAGACACCCCTTGCCTTGCTTCCCGGACACCGCTGCCCCTCCTACCGGCCAGGGACCGGCATCATAGATGTTGGTGAGTATCGGGGAGAGAGACCAGCCAACATGCGTTCACTGATCTCCACCCCACTGAATGAAGCTGCAAGTGATGCTGATTGCATCACTTCCAGCTTCTGAGCGGTCATTCCGAGAAGCCAGGGAAGAAGCTGATCAAGTACGATCTGTGCTTGATCAGCTTCTTTGGAGTGCAAAGGTAACATTAGGGGTCTAAATTTTTAAATCCCCTGTCTCAGCAAACGGGTGCATACTAATGCAAACAAATGTCGGGTGCACCTAGGTCTGAAAATGACGATTGCACTTTACATGTTGGGTATCGACGCATATGTTAATATTCATTGTTAGCTCTAAACTGATGACCTGTACAGGCTTTTAAAGCATTGCTTATGGATAATTGGTACCATATTTTTTTGCCGTTTCACAGGTGCAAGCAATATTCAAGCTTGGCATGTTGGGTATCTATTTATATTAATATACTATTTATGTAGGTATCTTTTATAAAAAAAAGTTGGATATTATGTTATGGTTTTTGTGAATTAAAATTAAATGTATATTTTACAAAAAGTTTGGATTTGATAACGACTTGTGCTAATATCACGCAACATATAAATTTGCAACTGCCACCATTGTATTCTACACGGTCTTTTTTATTATGACCACCCCATCAGTACTTCGTTGGGCCACAAGATGACTCCACGAGATGACTTCGTTGGCCCGCCTCGTGACTCCACGAGATGTTGAAAGGTGATGCGAGGAATCTGACAATGCACTGTTGCCCTTCTGTTGTCTTGTACCAGTCATGCCACTCTCCGTTCTGCCCTAACATTGACTAGTCGCTGACGGCCACAATTCGTAGGTTCAGACCCAGATTTTCGGCTGTCAGTCCAGTCTTTAAACACTTTAACAACAGCTGCTCTTGAACATTTAACGAATTCTGCTGTTTTGCTGATACTCGCGCCATGGCTCCAAGCGCCAACAATCATCCCACGTTCAAAGGCTGTTAAATCGCGTTGTTTACCAGTATCTTCAGAAAAAAAATCACTTCTACTGTCGTGGTAAACAACCTGCTTCCCTATTTATAATGGTCTGGCCCTCTAGCAACTTCAGCGCGAAATTATAGCTAATTATAGCTAATTTGCCTACAAACGTCAGGTGGTCATAAATATCTGGCCACTCAGTGTAAAATTTTGTGGGGTGTTAAGTAATTTTTAGGCCTAAAATGTGCATTATAACATGTGTGCAAAAAAACGCTCCTGCGGAGATGGGGTAAAATGACAGCATTATATGCATTTTGGAATGTCCTCTAAACACATTTTTCAATACCAGTGGAGCCTTAGGGGCATCTGCTTTCAGTAATTTTCTAGATTAGTAATGAATTGTATTCTGGTTGCAATTCTAGTTGCTGTAAATCTGTATACATTCTGGGAACGTATGATGGTATGATGAATGATGAGTGATGGTATGAGGTTTCAAAGCATTGTTTGCAATATTAGTTGGTAAATGAATTGCACTTTCAAAGAACCCCTTTTATCATTTTACCAACTAGTAATGCAAACAATGCTTTGAAACATCATACCATCATTCATCACACCATCATTGCATCATACATTCTCAGAATGTATACAATTTATGTATTTTAACGCAAAATTGCAGATTTACAGCATCTAGGATGCCTACCCCCATCTTGAAACATCAGCCCTGGAGGATCCTTAGGCCGGTATCTCTGGTGAGGAGGGGACATGGATTTAAACAAAAGAAGACAGATATGCACCCAGTGAACAGGATGATGGGAGCAGATTAAGCAGACTGTTTGGATAATTTAAGAAACATGAGATTTCTTTCAGAAGAGCCCCAAATGCTCAAAATCAGTTTAACAAAAACATGGCAATTGTTTATGATATTTAATGATTTAGAAAACAAAATGTCATCTAGTTAGGGTGTGGAACAACTTTAAGAGCTTTATTATCTGCCAAAACAATTATACACATCATGGCACTCACCACATGTTACCCTCTGGGTCACTCTTTCCAAAGGCACTGTATGAGCCATCATCATGCTTATATGTCAACTGCCGCTGGTATCCTAAACAAAATGTGTAAGTTGAGAACTTATATTGAAAAATGTATGTAATATTTGTATAATCTTTATAACCAACAATAAGCAAAGCAATAAGTTCCAAGAGTCTCCAAATATTACATATTTGTAGATTCCATAAAATATATATTAGATTGTTTACATTTACAGTCTTTGGACACCAAACATTTAACATTGTACTGCATGACAGCTTGTATGTTCTGCACCCAATCTCTGCACAAAAACAAAGTACCGTATATACTCGAGTATAAGCCGAGATTTTCAGCCCATTTTTTTGGGTAGTAATTTTACAGCTTCTTACCACTCTCCAGGAACTTTGTGGCTTTGCTCTTGATTTCATCGGTCAGCTGATGAGTCTTCTCCAGATACTGTAGAATAAAGATATTGGGGGCAAAGAGGACCATGTTCTGCTCTCCACACCCATATGGCATGGCCAGGAGACGGTCCAGGTTCTGCAATGCTGTGCCCATTAAATCTCCTGTAAGGTTGAAATAAAGGCAAACCGTAAAATGAAAGACAGCAAAACAATATAAATATGAATATCATGTTTGTTTTTAATTCTCAATTTTAATTTAATATGAAGCATAAAACACTTAGGCTATATAAATGTATCTTACCCAACACAGTCACGTAAGCTCTTTCAGAATCTTTCAGGATGTTCTTAGGAAACTGTAGAGATACCTCTTCTGTCTTAGTATTACCTGGAACACAACATTTAATGCTGAACTCTAGTCTGCTTGTATTCTGCCTTCCCTGGTTTGTCCTTTTACCACCTCACTAACATGCTAAATACATGTTTATTACAAACATTGTAATAAAAACTTTTCACTACAATCTTTATTCACAAGCCCCCTTTGTGATACCATATTAGTAATCACAGGTTCTCTTTAAGGAGACATTAAGGGTCTGTTCAAAGAAGCTATTCAAACAGAGATCTTGCTTGAATAACTTCTTCCTAACTGCTCTAGCCAGCAAATGACAGCTAAGAAGTCAGGAGTGATGCAATCAGCATCGCTTCCAGCTTCATTCAGCGGGGAGGAGATTGGCAAATGGACGTTCACTGGTCTCTGTCCCTGCTTCCTGCCGAGACCCAAGAAGCCAATCCCGGGCCCACAGCGGAGACCAGGAAGCAAAGCCTGGGGTGTCAGGGGGGCTGACTGTCAGCAATCTGGCGGCAGCTCAGCCACCAGAATCACTTACAGTGTAGAGCCAACAGTTGGCTTTACACAGGTAAATATAGTGGGGGGAATTTATCATAATCTGGAGCAGACAAAATGTGGAGCAGATTAGCACTGCAACCAGCTTTTCTGTCTCATTTTCAAATCTTACCTGAGCAAACTGAAGAGAGATGCTGATTGGTTACCATGGGCAACTGCTCCTGATTATTTCTGCTTCAGTTTTGATAAATTCCCCCCAGTCTGTTTACAGGGGCCCACAGCCAGCACTGACGGATATGGCGATGGCAGCAAAAGGGTTAAGCCTTCTAGTATCCCTTTGGGTTATGTACTATGAGTTGCAAAACAGTGCTTTAAATCAAGTAATGTTGATTCTAAAATAAGAAAGCACTGAAACTTATGACGTGGAGTAGAAAGTAAGAGATCAATCCAAACTTAGGGAATTACCCTTTTGGACAGTTGTCACCAGAACAAATGTCCCCATTGGAAGATTTCCTCTCTCCCCAGGTACAGTAAGTGTGAGTTGGCAGAAAAAGCAGAAACAGAGTTCGTAGGTAGGTTTAATCATATGTGATTGTTAAGACGGATATGTTTGGTAATACTGCACAGCTAGGTTCATTTAGAAGGGGAAAACAATGTAAGTTTGGGGTCTGTTCTCCATAATTGTCTCCTCACCTTCTCCCTCCTGCATGCACAGCAGAGAGCTGTGTGCTTTCTCCACCAGGACTCCTCCGGGCTGTCAGATGAAATAAGACAGAGAAATCACAATGTAAGAACACAGGGTTTATTTTTAAACAATTTGCAGGGCCCTTTGCCCTGTGAATATATGTGAATGTAGTTTTGAGTGAATAATACCAAAAAATCGACATTCTTAAAGAACAATATTTACCCTTGTAGTGTGGGTGTAGCCCCACTGCTCATTTTGGTCTAGGGGCCATAAAAAAGAAGATATACTCACCCAGGCTGCTAGACTGGTCCCCGCAGTCTCTTCTCACCCAGGCTCTCGAGGTCTAAGGATTGCTGATGTCATCACCTCTATTGCAGGTCTATTGACTTGCATTAGACGCGAGGACGCCGAAGGACATACTACAGCCAGAGCGGAAGGGAACAGAGGTGAGCACTGTCCACTGCAGGATCAAAATCAGAGTAGTATATCTTCTTTATTTTGTCCCCTAGAACAAAACAAGCAGTTTACTCATGCAGTACGGAGGTAGCCCAACTATAAGGGTAACATTTGTTAAATCCTGGAGTTCTTCTGTAGAATATTTTTTCCAGTTGCAATATATTATCTACATTTTGGCATCACGACATTGTGACGTCACGGCCGACTCCGCCCAGAAGTTCATTGGCCGGAACCTGCTAAAAGACTCCAGCAGGTGCCGGCCAATAGGAAACAGTTGGGTGGAGCTAGCTGTCACTGCTAGCTCCGCCCAATTAGTTTTTCTTTTTTATAATTTTTTTTTCTTCTTTAAAATATCTTAATTTCTTTTTAACTTTTCCTATTTTTTTTCTTTTAAAAAAATCATTATTTTAAAATGTTACTATTTATTTAATTTTTTTAAACATTATTCAAGCTTTTGTTTTTTTTTCAGACTATTTTCATTGCTTTTATATTCTGCTCGGTACCACTGAGATACTGAGCAGAATAGTTGAGCCGAATGTTGCTCGGCGGCATTCGGCTATTGACTCACTGCTCTGTTGCAGAGCATGTTCGGCTCACCGAAGTGCAGTCGAAGGCAGCAGATATACGGCTGATTTCAGCCGATGTACAGTTAAAATCAGCCGTATTGAGCCAGAGTGAATAGCCGAACGTAATTAGGTTCAGTTCACTTCAGCTGGGTTATTCACTCGGCTGCCTTCGGCAACTTTGTGAATAACCCCCTTAGATTTACATCCTCTGTGTGCATGCTTCATCTCCCTCTCTGCTCCCCTCCCCAGAGTTGCACTACACCTGCACTGGTCTCCTTTGCAGAAAAGCGCGTCCAGATTTCATGTATGTTATCAGTATTACTCAAAGTTTGTTGCCCACAATTAGCTTTGCATCTTCAAGGATTATAATGCACTTCTCTTGTTCTGCTTTTCTTCATCACCACAGCTCCCTTTCTACCTTCCCTTTCCCCATTCTCCTTAACAATAATAGATTCTCAAATTGCATGGCTGCTTCATTTCCACTCCTGTGCCCTCACTAGATTCTTCAAACTCTGAGAGATTTTTTGCCCAGAAAGTCTGTGGGCCACCCCAGCAAAATGATTATACAGACCCAAACAGTTAGATCAAAGAAAACCAAGCACACAGTCAAGGCATGCACAGTTACACACATAAAAAAGTACACAGGCACATCATACACGGAGCTCATATACAGAGTGCACACAATTTATGGCATACAAAGACAGGACAAATATAGACACAGTCAAAGCACAAACAGAAAATGGATAGTAAGAGCACCCAAGTCACAGCACACATAGTCAAAGCACCCAGAACATATGCAGAATACACATACACCACCAGCTGCATGATAGTCCATAAAGACTAAAGTAGGGTATATACGGTTATAATTTTTTATGGATGAAATAGAATTTGGAATGTTTGTTCGACTTTCTAATCGTTAATTGGGTCAAATTGACGGTCCTTTACCTCCACAGTAATGAAAACATTTGATGAGCATGTTAGAAAATGTTTCTCAGTCCGGAAACTCCATTCAGTCCAAAATCAAATGTTGAATAAAAACGCATATTAAATGAAATTTCGAATGACAATTAGCAAGTTTCTGATGTCAGTATTGAACGTTCCGGTGGGATATTTCGTACGAACGTTTGTTCAAAATTCTAACCGTGTATACCCTACTTTACAGTTTGACTTTCAGACGGCTACCTATTATCTTTTTCCTGTCAAGTTTGGTTGCAAATGTACACTTGATTTCTTACAATGAATCTAAACTAGGTTATGTTGCTATATATGTTCCTGTGATCTAGATCTGTTTTTCCACACTGACCTGTACAAGTAACGGTTTTACAATGGTATCAGTAGCTCCTTGTTTGGGAACAATCGGTATCTCATTTTGGCATAAATCTGTAGTCTTAACAGCCTCAGTCCGTACTGTGATATTTACTTCTCCTGGAAAAAAAATGAGGTCACCATTGCATATCACGATAGCCAGAAATGGTTCACATTAAAATGAAAACAACTGGTTGGATCCTGTGGGCATCAAAAAAAATCCATCAAAATGTGTTTCCTGCTCACAGATAGAATGTGTAGGTAGATAAAGAAAAAAAAATAGTAACTTTATATAATTATAATATAAAAGTGTGCAATTTATACTCATGGGTCACTAAGGAACATAATGTCCAGTTATCAACAATACCAGCAAACCAATAAATGTATAATGTTGGGTTTGTAGATCCCTTCTCACCCAGTTTGGTGGCTTTCAGGTTCCAGTAGAAGTTTTTGCTCTCATCGGCACACAGGCAGCTGCTGTAGGTACAGTCTGTACAAGGTGTCCGCTCTAACTCCTCAGTGGGCCCCAGATTGACTTTAATCTGCCAACACATTGTATGTTAAACTGGAAGGTCATAAGCCTAAAAGTCACATTAAGCTGCATCCACAAGACTGAACTGGTATTAGAGTAAGGGGAGACATTCTCATTTAGCTGCAGGTTTCATAAAGGTCACAGACAGGGTCTGTATCAATAGCTATAGAACATACTGTAAGTAAGGATCTTAAAATCATTTTAAAGTGAAGTTTATGTAGTTCACCTGGAGTTTCCACTTTAAGTAGTCATGTATCTAAGCTGCTTTTCTACTCCATACAAGTCAATGTGAATGAAAATGCAATTTAGAGTATCACAATGCAATTTAGAAAACACTGAAGCACTTCCTTTAGCAACTAAAAGGCAAATCAAAGCATCTCAGAAGTATCTTAGTGGCCCCTGAACACACACTGCATTTGACATACTATCAAATCTGAAATCTGGGCCTGCCCGATGGTATACAGATTGATTGATTGGATAGTTTAGGTAAGTCCTCATATTACATAGTTGTGGATGATCTAAAACTGATGGTTCAGAGGTTGTACGGTCAGATGGTAATATGTGGTGAGACTAAAGCTAGCCAAAGACACATGAGGATGTGTGATGGTCTAGGCAAAAGCAAGCTTAGGGTGATCAGGCATTCATGTTTACTCAATGGAGTTAAGCGGTTACATAGTTACATAGTATTTGAGGTTGAATAAAGACATTAGTCCATCAAGTCCAACCTATTAGGATCTCATTCTAGGAGTACCTGTACCCCTGTATATTACGGTCCCTTAAGAAATCGTCCAAAAGTTTCTTGAACAATTCCACATTATTTGCTGAAATCACCGTCTGTGGCAGTGAGTTCCAGACCCTAACTGATCTTACTGTGAAGAACCCCCTTCGCCCCTTGTGCTGGAATTTTTTTTCCACCAATTTTAGGTGGTGGCCTCTAGTTTTTGTAATGGAGTTAATTTTAAACAGTTTATCGCTAATGTTGCTACCACCATTGAACATTTTTGTACATGAAGATCATATCCCCCCTTAATCTCCTCACCTCCAATGTGAACATGTTTAAATTTAGTAGCCTTGTCTCGTAGCTCTGGTCCTCCATACCCCTAATTAGTTTGGTTGCCCTCCGCTGGACTTTTTCCAACTCAAGGACATCTTTTCTTAGTACCGGTGACCAGAACTGGCCCGCGTACTCCAGATGAGGCCGGACCAGCGATCTATAAAGTGGCAAAATTATAGACTTGTCCCTGCAATACATCCCCTTTTTAATACAAGACAAAACCCTGCTAGCTTTGTTTACAGCAGCCTGGCACTGCAAACTACCTTTCAGTCTGTGGTCTACAATGACCCCCAAATCCTTCTCCATTACTGACTTCCCTAGCGGCATACCCATAATTGTATGGGTATGCATAATTGTATGGGAAAAAATTAGTTTCGTTTTGAAACAAAAAAGAAAATTTGTTTAGTTTCAGTTTTGTTTGTTTTGAAGAGGTGGTAGGAGCATTCAGACACCTTAGACACCAGCCTATTTAGGCGTCCATCATCATTATATTGTTGTAATGAAGAAACACTTTATGAAAGATGATTCTTCCTTGAAAGGATAAAGAATATTCCGATGATACTGTTAATATGATTAACACTACCAACCTTGATGCACTGCTTAAGATAATTAAATACTGAGGCTTTAAGGATGAAAGTTTCTCCTCTCACTACAGAATACGGGAGGGCGAGATCCACAAAGAACGGCTGGAAGACTCGAAGAGAGGCAGGAGGAGACAGGCCAAATCCACTCTGACCCAAACATACGGCCCCGGCATTCCAGTCTGTGATGGTGTCTGGTGCCTTGTGATGGAGGTCAGCATTGCCAGAGTCTCTGGAGAAGACAAAGAATGAAAAATAACACACAGTCATACCAACAAAGCAAACAGTTAGAGAAAGTTGGGGAAAGCAAGGGGCAGTTTTTAATACTGGCCTATTAGTTTCTATATTTCATTAACAAGGAGAATGAAGAAAAGAAGGTAAGTGGTTGAAAGGGACAAATTTTAATCCAGTTTTCTTAGCTGTATTTTGGACAAAGCATCCCCAATAAAAGTTATACATAAGAACTTTGGAAATGTGGAGCTGCTACTAATAGCAACCAAAATTCCCACATGTTCCCCTATGTTCCCCTTCTTCCTTTTTTTACACACCAGGGTCTATTCATAAACAATTTACAGGGCACTTTGCCCTGTGAATATGTATGAATGTTTGTTTTGGGCGAATAATGCCATAAATGATTCTTAATATATTTTTCCCAGTTAGGATGTAGTGTGTTGTAATATTATATTATGGCCCTTAGATTGTGAATAGGAAGTGAACACTTATGTCCTATACTCTTCGGCACCATCTAATTATTACAACATACTACATTCTAACGGGGAAAAATATATTAATAACATTCGTTTTTGCCGTTATTTGCCCACAACAAACATTCACAGATATTCTGAGGGGGAAGGACCCTGCCAATTGTTTACAAATAGACAACATAGTACACGTTATAATAATCAAGTATACAATGGTACCACTAATAGTAAAAAAAATGATCACCAACATTTGGTTTTAATAGATGTTATTATGAGCAACAATACTGAGGTAAACCCAATAAAAAAAAAAGGTGTAATATATTGCACCTTCTCCTGATAAGTCTGTAAATGTGGTGGCTACAGTAGGTTTTTTTCCTTTATTTTCACCCAGTTAAACAATGTACTCTATCGTTGGAGGAGCCGTGTTGTTACCCTTTGCTGCTCCTCTCCTCATTTCTTTCTAACTATGGTTTGAGACAGACCCAAAATGTTTGTTATTTTGGTGATTCTTATGCATTTCCAATAGACGAACTTCATTATACACACACAAGATGTGTGAATATTATCTCATGCAAGTTTGAGGGTGCCATCCATCTGCTCAGTACACCACCCACTGTGAATTGCATATCTTGTAAAAATGGTTATTCTATCTTCTATGATTTTCTGGTCTGCAACCGGCCAACAGTGCCTGGATTTGTCTGAGATGGGCTACAATCATTTTTTAGACTTACTTTCTATCCCAGTAGCAATGGCCACCAGTACAGCAAATCCTTCAAACATGGACACAAAACTCAATACCAACCTGACAGTGATTTTCACCTTCTTTCCCTCTAGCTAAAATAGGTTTTGGCTGTATTTCCACTTTACATGAACTCCGCTTTTTGGGTTGAATGTACAAGCTGAGACTCACCCTACTGATATAAGTTCCCATAGCCAGGTTTCAGGAAAATATGTTCGAACTTTCTCCTTTTCTTCCTCCTTTTCTTTCTCCTCTAATGTCGCCAACCTGGGTATGCTTCCTGGTAGACATGTGCACCAGCAAAAAAATTAGTTTTGTTTTGAAACAACAACAAAAATTTGTTTAATTCAGTTTTGTTTTGATTCGGACTTTGCATTATTTCGTTTTTCGGAATCAGGTCCGAAATTAAATTAGTTTCGGACGAAATTCGTTAGCGGTAGTCCGGGCGAAATTCGTTATTGGACGAATTTAATTGCAACAAAATGACATTAGGGGAGAAAAAAAATTAATTATTTTTTTTTACAGTCTGCAGAAGATGGAAAAAAAAAAAAGCCTGAGGTTCCCCCCCAATTCATACCAGACCCTTTAGGTCTGGTAGGAATGTTAGGAGAATGCCAATTCAAAAGCAAAGAACAACTTTATCCATTATTCACCCTGCCCTGGATTAGAGCCTGCAACCTTGACAATGGCAAACCAATACCCTAACCACTACACTATTGCCTCTGAACTTTTTACCATAGAAGTGTTGTAGAGAGAAAATGTTGTAGTAGGTGTTGTAGGAGAAAATGAAAGTTTGTGCATGTTATAACACAAAAAAAGAGCCGAGGTGTCATCTGAAAATAATTATGACATCTCGGCTCACAGACCTGAATAGCATTCGGAAACGCATGAATAGTATTCGGGAGTTTCCGAATGCTATGTAGCATTTGACAGCTGAGAATGTCAAATGGGCGGAACTAACCGTGACGTCATGGCTCGCTCCGCCCATCTGTTGACATTTGGGCTGAATGTCATTTTTGCGGCGAGTTTTCGTCGGGTTCGGGTGGTCGTCTTTTTTCATTTTGGCGGGTCGGCGGGGGTCCTGCATCCTGATTGACTCTGGATTACATCGATGGAGCCATTTTTAAAAACATTTTTTGTTAAAGGAATAGTCAAAAATTGACTGTTTTTTTTTTCAATTAAAGGATTTTGTCAAAAGTCTGGACTTTTTACTCACTATTTGATTTAACCCTTTAGTGAATGGGTAGGGGTACAAGTACCCCTTACTCATTCACATGGGGGGGTGGCATCTGGGTGCCCCCTTATTTAAAGGGGTACCCCGATGCAAATAAGCCCCCTTGCCCACAGACCCCCACAACCACGGGGTCAGGGTTGTGGGGAAAAGGCATGGGGACACCCTCCCAATGCCGAGGGCACGTGGCCTGGTAAGGCGCAGGGGGGGGGGGCGCCCGATCGCCCCCCCTTTCCTTCCCTGCCGGGCCAGTGCTCGGATCAAGGGTCTGGTCTGGTAGGACTGTTAGGGGACCCCACGTTTTTTTCCCCCATTTGTTAGGGAAAATTCCTTTAAAATTCCTACCAGACCTTAAGGGTGTGGTATGGATTTTGGGGGGAACCCCACGCACTTTTCTTTGTGTTATAACTGGGGGGGGGGGGTCCCTCCTAACATTCCTACCAGACCTAAATGGTCTGGTATGAATTGGGGGGAACCTCACGCTTTTTTTTTTCATCTTCTGCAGACTGTTAAAAAAAATGTCATTTTGCTGCAACGAAATTCGTCCATAAAAAAATTTCGGCCGGACTACCGCTAACGAATTCCGGAAATCGGGAATTCGGATTCGTTTGCATTCGTCTTAGCAGTAATTCGGATGCATCCGAATCTCCGAATTTCCGAAAATTCGTTCGAAACGAATTTCGGAACGCACCGAATCGCACATGTCTACTTCCTGGCACTCTGCTGGCAGGATCAGCAGGAGCATGTGAAAAATTAAGAACAAGGGGGGGGGGGCTGTGTATTGAATGTGACTATGCAATCATCTAACTGATTTTGTTGCCGTAACAACCATCTTTTGTTTTTTTCTTTATCTCAGAGATTTTTTTTATCTGGGATTTTTTTTCCTGGCTAGTGTGGTCAACTGGGACACTTGGAAAAAAGTATTCCCAATGTAACAGTGTCTCCTGGTCTCAGATTTCTTGGCCATTCAAATGAATGGGTTTCCTTAATGCAATGCATGTTAAAGCACAAGTGTTATTACAACACACCAAACATGTAAGGCGGCAAACATTTTTGTTTCAGGTCCATTAAGATTTTGTTTTGTTTCATATTAGTGATATTCAGATCCACTCATGATTTTTTGTTTTTTCATTTTGGATATTCAGATGCATTTTTTTTATTAAAAAAAACTAATTTAATTGAATTCATTTTTTTTTTCAAATAACATGGGGTCCCCCCCCCCCACCACAAAAAAACAAACAAAGAATGCATGGGGTCCCCCTAAAATCCTATTCCAGACCCTTGATCCGAGCTTTGGCCTGGCAGAGCAAGAATGGGGGTTGGAGAACAAGCGTGTGCTTGTGTCCTTGCACCATACCAGGCCACTTGCCCTCAACATTGGGTATGTTCCCCATGTTGATGAGGACAAGGGCTTTATCCCCACAACCCTGGTGGGCACGGGGGCTCATAGGAATGTGGGTGCCCACTTTGATAAAGGGGCACCCAGATGCTGCCCCCATCCCCCACCGGAAATGAGTAAGGGGTAGTTGTTACCCCTATTCATTTACTGAGTAAAGAGAAATAGTAAATAAAAAAGCTATCTGTTTTTTGACAACTTTCTTGAGAACTTGAGAATTTTCTCTCTCAGGTCTGCTCCACTGTGGGAACAAAAGCCATTCACATTATTGGCTATTTTAAATCGCAATAGCCAATAGCAGGATGGCTATTGCTCCACCCACTACCTTCTGTCAATCAGCAGAGTAGCAGACCTGAGACACATCATTTGTTTCATTCGGAAATTCGGATGCATCCAAAAGTCCGAATTCATAATAATTCCTCCAAATTTGCGTTCAGCATGAAACTAAATGTACATGTCTATACCAAACAGAATAAGTCTGAATGAGCCTTACATGAGAGATGTTGGGGGCCCTACACCTCTCCTTTTCTTGCATGCATCCACTGTTATGACAACAGCTATATACAGTGAGGAAAATAATGATTTGATCCCCTGCAGATTTTGAAAGTTTGCCCACTTACAAAGAAATGAAAGGTCTATAATTTTTATCATATGTGTATTTTAAATGATAGAGACAGAATAGCATCCATAAATCCAGAAAAAACACATGATACAAATGTTAAAAATTGAGTTGCAGTTCACTGAGTAAAATAAGTATTTGATCCCCAAACAAAACATGACTTACTACTTGGTGGAGAAACCCTTGTTAGCAAGCACAGAGGTAAGACGTTTCTTATAGTTGGTTACCAGGTTTGCACACATCTCAGGAGGTATTTTGATCTATTGTTCTTTACAGATCTTCTCTAAGTCCTTAAGGTTTCTTGGCTGTCACTTGGCAACCAGAAGTTTCAGCTCCCTCCATAAATTTTCTATAGAATTAAGGTCTGGAGGCACCACTCCATGACCTTAATGTGCTTCTTCTTAAGCCACTGCTTTGTTGCCTTGGCGGTATGTTTTGGGTCATTGTCATGCTGAAAGACCCATCCACGACCCATCTTCAGTGTTCTGGCTGACGACAGAAGGTTCTCATCCAAGATTTTACAATACATGGTCCCGTCCATTGGCCCCTCAATGCGGCAAAGTCGACCTGTATATTTAGCAGAGAAACAGCCCAAAAGCATAATGTTTCCACCTCCGTGCTTCACTGTAGGGATGGTGTTCTTAGGGTCATAGTCAGCATTTTTCTTCCTCCAAACACGTTGAGTCGAGTTAATGCCAAAGAGCTTAATTTTGGTCTCATCTGACCGCAGCACTTCCTCCCACTCCTTCTCTGAACCATTTAGATGTTAATTGGCAAACTTCAGATGGGCCTGTACATGTGCCGTCTTGAGGAGGGGGACCTTGCGGGCGCTGCAGGATCTCAATCCATGGCGGTGTATTGTGTTACCAATGGTTTGTTTGGTGACTGTGGTCCCAACTGCCTTGAGATCATTCACAAGCTCCTCCCGTGTATTTCTGGGCTGATCCCTCACTTTTCTCATGATCATCCTTACCCCATGAGGTGAAATCTTGCATGGAGCTCCAGTGCGAGGGCGATTGATGGTTATTTTGTATTCCTTCCATTTGCGAATAATCGCTCCAACAGTTGTTTCCTTCTCACAAGCTTCTTGCTGATAGTCTTGTAGCCCATTCCAGCCTTGTGCAGGTCTACAATCTTGTCCCTAACATCCTTTGACAGCTAAAGAGTCTTGCCTATGGTGGTGAGGTTTCAATGGAGGAAAGAGATTCTGTGGACAAGTATCTTATACATAACGAGCAAGGCCGGATTCCCGGCAAGGCCACCGAGGCCCGGCCTTGGGGTGTCACTGAGCAGAGGGGCGGCACAGGTTTGTATTTTCTACATTTAGCTCTGCTTTGCACAAGCAGAACTAAATGTAGAATAGGAGAAATCACTTGTTTCTTTACAAGTGTTCTCGGCGATGTCGCCGAGAACACTTGTCATTAGACTGCCGGTTTTACTCACTGAACTGCAACTCAATTTATAACATTTGTATCATGTGTTTTTTCTGGATTTTTGGTTGATATTCTGTCTCTATCATTTTAAAATACACCTATGATAAAAAATTATAGACCTCTAATTTCTCTGTAAGTGGGCAAACATACAAAATCTGAAGGGGATCAAATAATTATTTTCCTCACTGTATATGCAGACTCAGCTATATTGTTTTATTCTACAATCTTACCCAATGGTCTTTGGGGTCCTGGAAGTCCTGGAAGTCCTGGAAGCTGTGGCTGCATTGCATAAACTGGAAATTTAAAATCGTGACATTCGATGGGTTTCTTAATGTCTGCACTTGTTAGTATTTTACATTTTATTGCCTGTGGTGTGTAAGAAAACAAATCCAAAAATGTAATTTCAATATAATGACATAGGCTTTGGGTTCAGTATTCTGAGACATGCATTAAAGCAATTACATTATGGATAGCACCTTGGAGTCAATGACATTTTATTGTAAAATGCTCTTCCTTTCTTTATCAAACTTTGCAGTAAATCTGAATGTGTGTGTCCAGTGGTTCCCAAACACACCATTTCAGGAAGCCCTTCTGCAATACATAGAAATCCATTATCTCAGCCACTTCATATAGTTCAACCTTCTTCTCCATTTCATCCACACTCTAAGCCTTTTAGTGGTCTTATTCCTTCACAAACTTTTCTATAGCTTTCATATTACCTTACATCACTGATTAACTATCTTATTCTTCAGGATCCTTTCATAATATCTGCATTTCTGAGCATTCCTGAGCACTTAATCCTGTGGGTGTAGATATTTAACCCCGGGGGGTATGCAAGTGTTCCTCCATCGTGGAGTCAACATGAAAAGCAAGAGATTCTGGTTCTCCATGCAGAGTAGGAAGAAGGGAATAAGAAAAAGTGTTGGCACCCCTTGCTAATCATGAAAGACTTCCTCCCAAATCATGAGGATTAAAGTAACTGTTAATTGTGAAGGAACTTTCATTTCAGTAAATCAAAAAGTTTAAGTGTATAAATAGCTAAAATGTTTTATTTTCAGTTTTATATAAACTAGGGAAGGATTAAAATTACTGTCACGTTATTTTTGCCATCTCTGTGTACTGTTGGGAGTCTACCCTTCACTTCCTGTTCCAGAGATGCAACCGGAAGTTAAAGTAAATCTCCCAAAGAGGGGAATGCTTCTTTTAGATAGCTGTCACCAGAAAAGGTGACTCCATTGGAAGGTTTACCCCATCTCTTCGGTCTCTAAGACAATGATCACCAGTGCAAATAGAGGAATGAATATTTCCAGAGGGACACAAACAGTAATAGAAACTTAACAGAGCATCTGACCCTGCCCTACTCTAATCAATACAAAAAAAACAAAATTGCCTTTACATGCACAACTGAAGTTATATACTCCAGTCTCTCCTTACACACCATGCAAGAGAACCTGTCTGAATGTAATGTGAGTGCTTCAATAGATAGAGGGTATAAACCACAGTAGAGAGGTCTAGATTTAAGAGTTGGTTAGGACCAAATGAGAAGAAGAGAATGTTGATCTAGGAGCCTTTGCACTGGGAATCATTAGTTCTGCTGCGGGAGGCATAAAGGGAAAGATAGGTGATTGCTATCTGCACCGGAGAACCACTAGTGGAAGGTGAAGAACACCCAGCCTAGTGACATTCTATCCAAAGACAGAGGAGGCATGTAAATCAATTACGCCATAAGGCATTTGGCCCTGGAACTTGAGATGTCTGTTTAAAAGCTGATGAGAGATGCTAGTGAGAGGCATCTAGGAAAAAGAATCCCACTCTGCTGTAACGTGACCACTAACTTAACAAGGCTTTCTTCCTTCTCTATAGCTGCTGTTAGCAGTTTGCTACCTCATAGACAGTGCCGGTGTTAGGATTCTTGCCTACACAGGCAATGTGCATTTTTAGCGCTGGGCCTGCTTGCACTGTGGGTTTTTTTCACTTACCTTCGGCGCGGGAGAGCAGCGGCGAGTCAGCGCTGGTCCGGTGGGAGGAGCTCCAGGTGGGGTCCTAATTTAGCTGGCCGTCGACTGCCAGAGGTGCCACGTGTGTCGGGATCCTCTGGCAGTCGCCGGCCAGCTAAATTAGGACCCCACCTGGAGCTCCTCCCACCGGACCAGATTACAGATTATTTAGGCTTTTTCCTTTGCATGAATGTCAACCCCTCAACTCTTGTAAATCAATTAAACATATCAACAAAATTGGGGCTTCAAAGGTATCATACACTACAAGACATTTTGTAAAAAAGATAACATATACCAGCTTTATTAATAACATTATATTATATTACACATATACAAAATCAGATAAAATCATCCCTCCAACCATGGCCGAGCAAACTCCAACGAGATCCTCAGCAAGAATAACCGTACAAGGTATAAACTATACTTTGTGAAGTCACAACCGTGATCCAAGTATGAAGCCATGGTAAGGTCAATGACCAATAGTCTCTTGAGGTCTCATTCTCTACTCATTTCGCACCCATATGGGGGTTGCTCAGAAGGGAGATGCTCTTGTCTGCTTACATAGCTGGGGGGATGAAGGTCAACTATAGTGCTTAAAAAAAAACAATACCACCACAGCAGAAGCTGGCTGAGAGGAATTCTCTATAAATGTGTAAATATGGTGTGACTGTATCACGTTTAACACATGCCAGCTTCAAGCATCACAGCTTGTTGTTATTAATAAAGCTGGTATATTTTATCCTTTTTACAAAATATCTTGTAGTTCTGTGTGGTGTTTGATACCGTTAAAACAAAATGTTGTTGATATGTTTAATTGATCTTTATATATAGGGGGATGTTATCAATATTGCCCTGGACATTTTGACCATTCCATCTTGAACCTCAACTCTTGTAGTTGATAGTGCCTTACCACAAAGTCCTTATATACCTTGTCAGAACGGTGTCAGGATAATGGGTTCAGAGAGCACTTGTATATCAAACTGAGAAACTTTTAAAATGGCTGATTGGTTCCCTTTAAGATCCATTGGCTCATCAAATATATTCATCAGATCATGATAAACAGTGATTAAGCATTAATTTCTGTTTATATTCATCCATGTAAGATATCCCTGTTTTGGGCTTATATCTCATAAAGCTTGGCACTTAACATATCCTGCAGGCAATATCCTGGTGACACTGTACAGTTAAAATTTGGTTGTGTGGCTCTTATTAATACTTTCATGGCTTTCACAAACCTCATTCTAAAAGACTGATGTGGTATCACCTCACCGGTGATATGTTTCACACTATGTTAGTAAATTAATATCACTGGTCTCTGAGTCACTTTTACAGGCATATGTGGAGATGGATATACCTTTAGCTGCTGATAGCAACAGGAAATGGGTCTTATGTATGATATTTATCTTATAGCTTTATTTTCCAAAAATATACAGTACATTACAAAACTGTTGCTTTGCTTCTTCAGTTTTGTAAAATGTATAAAAATGTATAACATGTGATTTTTCTTTAACAATTTATAGTCATGTCTTTGAATCTGTTTTTATATATACCTCAAATAAGCTGTACACATCCGCATCATCTGAGTTTTCTGAAGGCCAGCGGATCATAACTGCTCCAAAGCGTTCTATTGGTGGATGATGAAAGGGATAAAATAGACAACCGTCTTTATGTTCTTTGATGCGATAATCATATTTGCCATCATCCCGGAATGGAAACAGATTATAAACCTTAAAAACAAAAACAAACAAAATGATGGAGAAATATAGAAAGGCACGCTAAGAAGAAGATTTTGTAGATCCACCACTCACTTTGTCGGCAGTCAGCTCCTTTTCTGGTTTCATCAAGACCACACTCTGATCCACTACCCTGAGACCACAGAGGGAACCAGGAGCAGCCTGAACCTGAAGAGACACATCCAGCCCCGGAAGAACCTCTTTTGGAGAGAAGCCGATTGATACCTGGCAAGGGGATAAAACAATAGCACAGTGTATTAAAATAAAAGTAATATGTTTATTCTTCTGATCTATGTCTGCAAGAAAAAAGCAGCTTCTACGTGTTCATCCTCCTGTATGTATGGTTTATACTCCAACCTTTTCGATAAAGGAGCGCAAAAAGCAATGGTGAGGTGCAAAGTGTAGTGACCAAAAACATCCTGGAAATTTCAAAGATCTGACTGCAGTAAATCATACTGCCTACCTAAGGGTAACTGCACTCTGCAAACCCTCCTTGAATCACGCTAATGAGTAAAGCCTGTGACACATGGCACACGTCAAGAAGCAGCATAGAGCGGTGGTGCGCGGACCTTTGTGTGCGGTGTGGCATGTCATTTTTACTCTGGCGCGTCAGCATGTGACATAGGGCAATAGGAGGAGGTCTTAGAGACACTATAAAATATCTGACTAGACTATTTGATGTTAGTCAGACAGAACAGGAAGTGAGGTTATTTTCCCCACACAGGGGACAAAAACAGCAATACAAACAAATGTTCTAGTAAAGAGATGATGGGTTACTACTAGAGGTGCACCGAAATGAAAATTTCAAAACCGACATGAAAAACAAATGGCAGGCTGAAAACAAAAATGTTTTTTATTCTAACTTTTTACAATTTTTTTTAATTTTATTTTTATTTATTCATTTTTATTAAATGTTTTTATTTTTTACTTTACTTTTAGGGGCTTTGGGGAAATAATGGGACCCCTGATATTTCCATTTTAAAAAAGAAAAAGAAATTGAGGACACAAAGTCCTCAATCTCTTTTTCTGCAGCCCCTGTTATAAATGAACAGGAATCCTCTATACTGAGTGTTCCTGTTCTTTCAATGAAAGGGCCGGCCTTAGGGATGTGCGAGCGGTGCGGCCGCACAGGGCGCCATAGCAACAAAGGCGCCAGGCAGCCGACACAGCTCGTCCTCGGGGTGGCTTCTCTCCTCCTCAGCGCAGGCCATCCGACATGACATCGCTTCCTCGTCCGCCCCCCCCCCCACCCCTCAGCCGCTCTCGGTTTCCCGCTGGCTG